ACAGAAGTCAGTACCAGCAAAAAATAATTAAAACAATATTTGAACAAAACTTTTATATAATTATACAATATTGTATAACATATAGTCTGTATTTTTACGAGAAACACTATAAATAAAAATAGCTCCACGTAATTAGTTACAGATGTACAGACATTGACATTGACAATATATGTACACATTGTAGCATAGAATTTTTTCTGTATAAAAATTGTCGAATTATTGAAACTTTTTAAATAAATCACGCCAGAAAATGTTTAATATTTTGCATGCATATTACAATATTTATTCTAATACCTAACTGACCAAATAAAAATTGAATATTTTTAACTGGGATATTCTTTGATATGATCTTATAAAGTAGTATACATAGCAAACTCAAATTATTGAACAAATGCACTAAAATATTTTTTTCTTTTACACTTATACAAAACTTTTGTTAACAAACAAACGGTTCAACAAGTAGTTGGATTAGGATATCATCACCATACGTAACACAAATGATATCGTTGAAAATTTATAAGATATAAAAACTTGGAACAACCGAGTTCGTGACAGTAGACATATCTGTATAACAACAATTTTAACCAACTTTAAGTAGTTGTAGTACTATGATAACACATATTTACTCTTAGATTAAGACGTTGCAGTAATAAATTGAATATTTTTAGGATTGTCGTTGACCACGTTTACGTAAGCTGGATTCATAGCTTTAGGTGAAACATTAATATACTCATGTGGGGGTGGCATTAATTCTATGCGATCTGGTGATGACATCAGGGCCAATAAATCATAGTGTTCCTCCGAATGACCTATCCGAAGGACGCTATAAAAAGTTTAGAATGGCTTTTGGGAGCTATTATACATAGCTAAGGTTTGTCATACTTACAGTGATGTAACTCACCTGTTTCATGATGATTCGTCAACTCAAAACTATTTGAAGGATTTTAACAATATTCATGAAGTGGCTCTGGTGGCTAGTATATTTTAAATTTTTGAATCTTTATTTTATTTGTAAAAAAACTATAAAATTTTTTAAAAATAATTGATTTTTCTAAGAAAGCTAATAATAGATAAAAAGCTTTTTTAACTAAGCAAAGTATTGACATAGTAGTGACTTAATTAAAATTTATTTAAAAAATAGTGATTAATACTTTTTGTCAGTTTTACGCTTTTTGATGTCAAGTTATATTAGAGGATCAATAAGTATCATACGAGTAGGAAGGGAGATAAGTCTCGAAGTCTATTTTTTCATGATTTTTTTTTTAATACAGTAGCTAAATTTAATCTTAAAATATTAAAACCAAATAAGAAAGTAAATTATTAAGTTTTAACACATACGGAACGTATCAAGTAATGGAAAAGATCACTATGATTAATTTTTTCAATTTTTCTCATTTTTGTACGTGATACTACGATGACACCAACAATTGTTGGTCATTCAAAATTTTTATGTCTATAACTTTGAATGAGACAAAATAATCACAAGGACGAGGATAATAAGTATTTGAAAATTTTGAAATTATTTAAAGAAGTTTTCGTGTTTGAGAGAAAAAAATAAGACGACGTTTGATTAATGATCTTATTTAATTGTAAAATATTGTATAACATTTTAACTATAATACTTTTATTAGAAATATGAAAAATAAAAACAGCTTACTATCATTGGTGGTAGACAGAAGAACTTAACATAATAAAGATGATTATTGAAATGTATACACAGTTTTCGGACGTAATACCATGTGTTATTAAAAGCTACCTTTTTATTTATATTGTATATATTTTAAACGAGAGAATTGAAATTTTCAGAAAAAAAATGACCGGAATAGTGCAATATGTTGTTATTCGAGGAGACCTTATAAAAAGTTTAGAGTGGCCTTTGGGAGCTGTTATAGCTCAAGCTTGTCATGCTTGTAGTGCTGTAACTCACCTGTTTCATGATGATTTGGTAACTCAAAATTATTTGAAGGATTTGGACAGTATGCATAAAGTGGTGCTGGAGGCGAGTACATCTTATATTTTTGAATCATTATTTTATTTGTAAGAACTTTAAAATTTGTTTCAACTAACAAATTATTTTTAAGAAATCGAATAACAGATACAAAGTTTTTTTATTAAGCAAAGTATTGACATAATAGTGACTTAATTAAAACTTATTGAAAAAAACAGTGATTTTAATATGAAATTATATTATGCAAAGGTACAGTAGAAATTAGGATAAGTCTTGAACTCTATCTTTTTATACTTGTCTACCTAAATACATTTGCAAAATTCAGCCTTAAAAAATTAAAATCCATTAAAAAAGTAAATTATTTGGTCTTAACTTTATATACATCAAGTCAATGAAAAGGTCGTCACAATTGGTTTTAAAAATTTTTCTCAACTTTGTACGTGTTCCTATTAATACGATAAATTGTTGAGTGTTATAATTTTTTGACTCTATTACTATGAAATTAAGTTGTAATGTATAATATTAAACGCTTTTAAAATTTTATCTTAAAAAAATTTATGACAAAAGTTGGTTACATACAAATAGTTTTATACTGACATTTAAAATGCAGGCCTTCAAAATATTTAATAAATAGTATTTTATTGAAGATAGTAATTAATGTTTCTTAATAAATTCTAAATTAATTTTCAAAAATTAAAGAAATTTTATTGAGGAGTCACATAGTATGTAGTAAATTCACTAGTCTATCATTAAATAAAAACATAACTTAGAGATACCTTTTTAATATTTTGAACATCATATCATTATATTTATATTTAGGCTCCAAGTGAAGAAACTTTAAAAGAATTGCACAAAACGTTGGATGAAAATAGTATAAGGCACAAATTATGGATTGAACAGCCAGAAAATATACCAACTTGTCTCGTAATAAAACCGTATCCCAAAGATGAGGTTCATAAGTTCCTCAAAAAGTTGAAGTTGTTTAAATGATTTTTCAAGACAGCAAAAAATAATTAAAACAATATTTGAACAAAACTTTTATATAATTATACAATAT